GTTGTTCAAGCCAGCTTGCTTCCGAAATTCTATATCTCTCTAAAACGAAAAAAAAGGCAAGACAAGACGAGACAATAGCACAACATTTAATTATTTATTTAGCTTAATACTTATTCCGCAGCCGATAATCTAAAATCTCCGAAGATCCCCAACGCCATCTCCACCAGGTTTGTATCCATCGCGTGGTGGCGTGTTGTTCAAGCCGGCTTGCTTCCGTAAATCCTAAGCTAGAATAATAAACAGGTCGCGAGCAGCAACATGACAACAGGACAAGCTTTTCCCTCTACTCTGAACCGTTCTAAAGTCAAACAAATTAAAACACAACGAAGAAGTCACGCAAGTTAAACACATCCACCGTTCTATGATGATATATCGATCTACAAAGAAGTCACGCAGTTTAACACGATATACCGTTCCAAGAAATTAAGCACAAGAAGCAATAGCGTCGCGTCCGTTCCAAGAAGTCGTTATGTCGTTAAGCAAAGCAACAATAAAAAGTTAACAAAAAAAAGAAATAAAAAGTTAGAAAAGTTAACTAAAAAAAAGCAATTCATTTTAAGTTGCGATTCTTTTGGATGCGTCCACTATCAGTTATCTATCATGATAAGATACGTCGCGTATTCACAAAAATCTACCCATATTACATGTAGTTTGCTATTAATACGACACAAAATCATGCTACATGTATTATTATGTAACACAGGCTGGAGATTTACAAATGGCATGTTTTTTTGCTATCGTTACAAGTTGATGAACTGGTGGAGTATGTACATGTAAAAGGCTGTAAAGGGAATTTTTCAATAAACAAAGATTTCACAAACTGCGATTTAAAGCGATTAACTTCTAACCAAAGGTTGAGAGTTTATTATCGACTATATAATAAAACTTGAATATTCAATTATTTGAGACAGCGAGAATGTGCTTAATAATCTACCCCGTAGTCACTGTGTGAAAATCTTATAATACTGATCGTTATGAAAATGCATTAATTTTTTTCACAATCTATGACATATCATATTAATTGGCAAGATAATTTACCTTAACCCAATGAAATGGTTATTCTTTTAATCGGGAAATGTTATTAGAATAGAAACAGTAGCAGTGAGAATCAAAGGCAGAGAACCTGAACTTTTATTATGTCAACCTTTCCAACCATCACAAGCAACAACCAACGAATTTGAATTCAATGTTTCCAAGCACAACCAATCGCAACAAGCAGACATCCAACGAACGCTTTCCAACCACAGTAAGCTGCAACCAATGAACCTGGCTCAAACGAGACCTTTCGCCTCAAAATCTACGAAGTAGCAATTGCCGAATTAAGAAAAGCTTTTGGAATCTTATGATTAGATGCTGGATTAAACAAATTTGAGATGTATTCATATTCTAATTTTTGTGCCAAAATATAAAGAAATTCATAAAGATATTATAAAGAATAAATTAAATCTACATGGAAATATTCAAGTTTAAAGTTTTCTAATGTCAACTATTTTATTTGTACGATATAATTTAAAGTAATCTATACATATAATATAAAATGTTTATAAGTTCATTACTTGCATATTAAAAAAATGAAAATGAATTTTCCTGCAAAAAAATTCTTAAAGTACATGTAATTCTATTGTATATGTACATTAGGGCTCTGCAAACGACCATGCCGGGCATAATTGGCATCATGCTAGACAGAAGTGCTAGCGTCAAAATGTCTTCCTTTTTTTTAGGCACAGAATTTTTGCTTGTGCTCCAATATTTTAGGTTTAGTATTAACTTATTAGATTGTTAAAGAAATGCTTCAAGTAAAAAAATTTCCAAATAGGACTTGCCTTTACTACTTTGCGTTTATTTTCCACCTTTAAGTCTACAGTTCTACCTCAGTTATATCTCCTCATTTGTATCCCAGCCTCGGTTATATCCCAGCTTTGATGCTAGACGGATTTCCCTTATTTTAATTCCATATAAATCTACCTCAGTTATATCCCACTCAGATATATCCCTGTCCCCAATTTTTCCCAATCCCAATTTCCCAATCCTATAGTAATCCATTATGAACGTAACCTTGTTTATATCTTCTTAATTATATTACGTAAATTTATTAATCATATATGTATTAATGTACTATACAATAAATAATGTCATATCTATATACAGTTCTACCTCAGTTATATCCCCCCCCCACTTGCATCCCAATCTCGATTATATCCCAGCTTTGATGCTAGACGGATTTCTCTTAATTTAATTCCATATAAATCTACCTCAGTTATATCCCACTCAGATATATCCCTATCCCCAATTTTTCCCAATCCCATTTTCAAATCCTATAGTAATCCATTATGAACGCAAACTTGTTTATATCCCCTTAATTATATTATGCAAATTTATTAATCATATATGTATTAATATACTATATAATAAATCATGGCATATCTATATACAGTTGTATCTTATTTATATCCTCACTTTGGCATGGAGCTTTTTTGGAGATATATTTGAGGTGGGATGTAACTGAGATATATGTTATACAATGTTATTTAAAGCATATAATTTTATTGATTAATAAATTCTGTTAATAAAGTTTGGCATTTTGACTTTTCTACTGAAATATTTAAGTATTAAATTATACTACTTATATATCTTATATTACTTTCTGCTGTAAACTCTCTTTACTCTAAAAATATTTTAGCTAACTTGAGAGCTTCTCTTTCTATTTATATAGAAATAGCAGCCTTCTCTTTGTCACTTGAATCTTCTTTAGCATGTACTTGTATTTATTACCAAATATTCTTGATCATAAAAAATTTCTTCTTTCATATACAACTGTATATTAATCAAATTATTATTTATATTGATATATTCATTTGCTATTATATTTTTCAAGAAATCTGTAAGCTTCAGATTATTGAGAGCCAAAATTAAGTTAGCTATAACTTCATTGATTTTATCAATTTTTATTTTATTTATATTAATAAATGCTATTTCTATAGATAAAATTTCTATATTTTACCAATAACTATTTATTATACTCTGTTTGATATTATTTCAAGCATTTATAATTAGTTCAATTATCTCTTTAAGAGTTAATTTTTTATTACTTATTCATTATTTAATTCATAATTTATTTTATTATCAAGATATTTTGATAATAGATTTAAAATTATGAATAATTTTAGCATTACAAAATTGAATTTGAAATATAGTATTTAAGAAAAGAAATTCTATTTATAAATTCTTTAGATTGAGAAAAGTATTATTTATATATATGAAACAATTATTAACTATTAGTAGTAATTTTTGAGATATATTATATTTTAATTACTTTAACTATTCATTCTATATTTTCATAATTATCCAAGCTTTTATATTACTAGAGTATTAAATATGTATTAACTTTAATAAAATAATAGAAATTTTGTAATTTACTTATGATATATAATTTGATTTTTTTATTTCTATTTTATTATAATAAAGTAAAATGATAACTTATTCTTTATCCTTTTTAATATCTTTTGCTTTATCACTTTTTGATATATTATTTTATTTAAAGCTAGCTGAAAGAAAAGTTTTATCTTATCTAAATTATAAATATTTTTAATATTAAATATAGCTATTATTTCCTATAAATTTTTTCTTCTGATTTTTACTTAATTAAGATATATTAATTTACTTTTATTCATAATGTATTTGTTACTGATATTATATCTTTTCTGAAACTTTTCAATTATTTATTTGATGCTTTAAAATTAAAAAGTTAGGTATTATTTTCTTTAGTTCTATTATAGAATTTGATTACTTTTTTTCAAGATTTTCTAAAAAATAAGAATATTCTGATTATGTAAACTTTGAAATCACTTGTATAATATCTTTTCTAATAAAGAAAATTATATTATCTAAATATAAGTCTTCTTTAAATCTGAATATTTTGTGCTTATATATAATTATAAAAAATTATCTTTCTTTTAGAAAATACTATTTATAATCAAATAATTTATATTAAACTTATTTGTCAGTTTTTTATTGCTTAGTTTTATATTAGTTTCTTTTTTTTAATAATAATTATTTTATTCTTGAGTAATAAATTTCTCTTTTGCTTACTTTATCTATCTGTATTAATAGTATTTATTCACAGAACTAATCATTTTAAAATGCAAAGAATAATTTATTACTAATAAAATAATAATAATAATTATATAATTAATAGATCTGATAGTTAATTTAATAAATCTTATAAAGATTAAGTAAAGATACTTTTTCTTATATATTTATTTTATGATCTGATTTATATGATCTAATTTATATAATTTAATTTATATTATTATGGTGAATTGATAAGTGAGATTTTACTTGAATTCATTTTAATAATATAGGGTTGGGAGAAACTGAAATAATTAAAGGTAATGAGAGGGGAATTAAACTATACTTTTAATAATGACAAAGATTTCTAAGATTTGTGCTAATATTTATGGATATTGTCTTAATAAAGGATGAATAAATAAAGAAAGAATAAAATAAATCAAAGAAATTATAAAGAT